CCTTGTGAATAGTATATTGCCCACAGAACAAGAATTTGTAGCCTGTGATTACTTTGCAGGATAAACAGAAGAATACCTCCCTCTCTCCTTTCTTATTTGTCATGTCCAAATTTGCTTACCAATACCTTACACTAGAGTCTTTCTTGAGAAATGGGACATGGCTGAGAGGGATTTACTTATTATTTATTGTAATTGCTTTATATGGCTGCCCACCTCACAACTTCAGCAACTCTGGGTGGCAAAGATACTTAAAAAAATAGAAAAACAGTAACAATAAATATACATCTAGTCGCAGCTGAGGACAACAGTAGTCACAACAATAGCACTTGCGTCACAGGCCTCATTAACCTCCTGACACCCACATCCCAGGAAAACAGACATATTTTTAAAGATTTCCAGATCTCAGCGGATTGGTGTTCCAGAAGTCAGGAAAGGGGATGGTTAACCTGGACAGCAGGTGGTAGTATAGTATTTCCAGCACAGTTAATACAGCTGGCAGATTCTCTTCTGCTAATGAACAGAAACTAGTTTAACTTTCTGTCTGATCTTCTGCCATGCAGGATAATCAGCCCCTCTATAGTGCAAACAAGGTAAATTATTTTCAAGGACTAACATGGAGAAGTAGTGTGCTCTTAACTTTGAAGAGTGGAACATAATCAGGAAAGCCAGTATTTTGTTTCTACAGATTCATTTTAGCAACGTAATTAAGAAGTCAATTTTCTTTTCTGACTGAAAAAGTACTTTCTGGAAAAAGGAGAAACCACAAATGCATGCAGTGACACATGGAATCATTGTACAAAATATGTTAAACCATCTTTCTTTTAAAAAATAGTTATTCTTGTCTCAGTGTGAAAGATCATTAAGTTCAGAAGTATAAATCTACAGTACTGTACTCAATTCTAAGGCAATGTTTAGGATTTAAGAATATGTGAATATTTGGTAAGGATAAGACAGGAAGATTGAGCTTAAATACACTACAGCAAGATATGCTATAATGTAAAAGTGTCTTTAACAAATTTGTATACATTCTTTCCTCACTGAAACAAATTGATGGATTTCCACTCATTCCTTTAAAAAAGAGAGAAGTGAACACTTTATATAGTTTATATAGCATTTATATAGTTTCTACTTGCAATATTTCTTCAAACTGTTGGCATAAATACAACACACAAAACAGCTTTGATATTAGTGGAAGGGGTGCAGAATAAACCCTTTCAACATGGAGTATAAAATATGGCAACATGAACTGGCTGATACTATGCCATTGATACCAATTCTGTTTCCAGGTCCACTATGCTGGATTTGCCAATTTCTAGACTATTTTCAAAAATAACATTGTGTAATAACCTGTAACAATTAAAGCAGAAAGGAGATACACTTGAATGAATATAACCCAGCTAGAGGTGGTATATCAGCATAAAGTCTTTTTATAAGTGGGGAAATGGGAGATGCTGGCTGGGGAATTCCAGCAGTTGAAGTCCACATATCTTGAATTTGCCAAAAATGTTTTTAAAAAACCTGGTTTAAAACCACTAACAGACTACAGAAATCTTACTACTTGTAGCAGAAATAAACTAACATAGATGAAACCAAGAGGCAATAGATGTTTTACCCTGGATAACCAGCAGAGATCTGTAATTAATCGGTGTCTGAAAAGCACTTTGATTTAAAAAATACACACAATCATATTCTGGCCAATTTCTCTAGTCTATGTACTTTTTAAAGCCAATTTGAAGGTCTTTGCGATGGACAATGTTAGCAATATTAACATGTTCGTTCAAGATGTTTAACAAATCAGCTCTATCGTGTATACCACAATGAAAAGAAAAAAGCAAATTTTTTAAGTTACTTTCATATCATGACCTGTTAAACTAAAGATATTCAAGTCATCTAACAGAATAACTGCTTACGGTGGCTTAAGTATGCTATATTACATTTGTAATTAAGGTAAAAACAATTTATCTCTCATTTTATTTTAAATAAAAATAGATATTAAAAAGAGTTCATATGATAAATGATATATGATAAATATGATAAATCAGATATATCTGAAGAGCAAGCCTTAGTTGGAATATTTCAATTTTGCATCACATACCAACAAATTTTAAACTATAAATGGCAATAGAAATAATGCTGAAAACACTTTGCCTTTTTCTTGCATACATAAATTCAGGCACGTCTAAAATATTTCATAGTAAGCACAAGAAAGCTTAAAATATTAATGACCAGAGTTCTGCCATTGTATGAGCATAGAAAGCTTTGTCTCACCTAATCACAAAGGGAAGTGGACATTCTGGATCATAGCCCAAGTAGTTATTTATTATGTGGTGAAATATTTAGAACATACAGGGAAAATGACTACTGAATAGGCATTATGTTGTAATTCTACTTATACCAATAAGTGCACTGAAATGAAATAAAGTCCATTGTAACTTTAAACAAGACAATATGCCAGGCCAACCTATATACAAGAAGTCATTATAAGAAGGAAATTATTTTTCATATCCAATAACCAGAGTTGTTTATGCAATATAGCAACCATTGCTCATGGCTATGATTATGAATGCACATCATCCTTAGTATGGATAAATCCACATATACACATGAAAACACACATGTGTATAACAATATCTGTCAAAGTTAACAAACTACAGCAACAAGAACTGTTTTGATTTCTGAAAAGTCCATTACTGTATTGTTAGTAGGGTAATACAACAGAATATAGAAAACCTATCAAAGTAATTATTTTACATAACCTAATGAAATTAAGGTAGAGTTACTTTGAGTCTTTTTCTTATACATTCTCCTTCTCCTGGACTCAGAAACCTCTTTCTTCTGTGCTGGCCATGTTAATTGTCTTGCTGCCCTCCCTATTAGGCATTCCATCACGTCTTACATTCCTTCCATATAGCATTGTATGATTCATTTGACCCTAGAAGGGAAATGTCCCCTAAATATTAAGATCCTGATAATATAATCAGGATGGTTAATAAAGTAGAATTAGCACAACTATCAATTGATGCTTCCAGATACAGTTCAAACAGCTTAGCCAGAAAAGAAGGTAATGTTTACTAGAAAAAGCCATTGAGCAATCCAAGAAAATTAACAGTATGTTTCTCGGTTACCTGCCACCTCTCTGCAAAAATCATATAATAATTTGTATAATTAAATATAGATCTGAAGCCTAAATGAAATGGATCACAAAACTCAGCTTTTACTATGAATAACTGAATTCATCACCTGACATTCTCTCAAATCCTTTGCCGAGAAAAGGAATACTGACCATCAGCATATTGTTGAACTCATTTTTTCAGATACAGGCTAAGCTATTTTTACTAACAGTTTTATGAGGAAGGTATCTCACCTGCCAGTAAGTAATTTTATTAAATAAACAGAAAATTCAGTCTCTCCAGAGGCATTTACAGCCTCCCAACCATTCCCTGCCAGCTTCAAAAGTCATTGATGCCAAAGAAAATATTTTCTCTTTTAAAATACTGAATTAATTCTGCTAAACAAATCCATGGAACATGCATTGGAGAAGGTTGTCATTAAAGTGTAATAAATCATCTGTCATCTCTTCCAATGAAACTTCTGCACAACTAGGATGGAAATAGTGAAGGGGTAGATTGGGATTTGGAGAAAGTGGCTGAGCATCCCACTGCAAACATACTCCTGGTCAGACTAAGGTAGTGCACAGAGTGTGCTATTTAAAATAGATAATCCTAAAATATAGTATTTATAAAAATATAGCATTTTATAAATTTCCCAAATTAACTATTGAACACTATATTCAATGTTATGTCTATAAAATGCAGCCTTTATTCCCTAAATTAGCTATTTATAAATTCCCTAAATTAACTTTTTCTTTTTCTTTTTACAACCCTATGATCCCTTTTTCAAGGTGGAGTTGGGGCGACTGAATGGAGCTGAGTGTTTACTGGCCAGATGCCCTTCATGATGCCTATACAGAGTTCGAAGTAGATATTTTTTCTTAGCACCCTGATACAGATCTGCTGCTGGTTAGGACTGAATTCTCAACTTTCTGAGTGGGAAATGAACGTCTTCACCTCTAGGCCATTGCGCTGCTCCATAAATTCCCTAAATTGACTATTGGGCATAAAATTATCTTGCTCTATTAATTATGGTAAAATTATTGATAATAATGCTCAAGAGGTTAAGTTAGCTTCCTATTATAAAACTTTTTTGAGATGTTTCCTTCCTTAATTTCCTTAATGCAGTAATACTCTCTAATAGGATTTTAATTTAACTGCTCCAAAGCAAACACAAGGTCTAATGTATGACAATAGCATGTGATGGGTTACATATTACATGTGCTAAGACTATACTTGCTACAACAGCTATGAATTCTTAAGTTTTCCCTGACCAGGGCCCAAGGCATGGAGACTGAAATCATCCAGCATCATAAGGCAAGGAGACACCAGCCCAGAGACCGGATCTAGGAACCAGAGTGGGATCCAGCTGAGCAGCAAAGCAACCAAAAGATAACCAGCTTGTTCCTATAGCCCAGTGTTTCTCAACCTTGACAATTTTAAGGCATGTGGACTTCAACTCCCAGAATTCTGGGAGTTGAAGTCCACATGCCTTAAAATTGTCAAGGTTGAGAAACACTGCTATAGCCAAACCTAACATACTTGTCACCTTAGAAGCCATCCCTGGTCACAAGTGTTATACCATACTAATAAAAAGACCCATCCTTATCTATGTTATAGAAACAACTCAGACAAGTGGCCTCTAAATAGAACATAAAGGCAACCTGTTCAGAGTGCATCAGAACTGTAATTCCACACACATTTTTACTGCATTGTTCAAGCCTCATGGAAGTTGTGGGGCTTTCTATTTTAATCAAAGGACCAATGGGACTAAAAAGTATGTTGTTTGGTCTGTCCATCATCCTCTCCATTATGGCTGCAGATTGTGGAATGTTTCTTGCTTTATCACTCATGTACTAGAAAGGCACCAGACCTGCCACTAGAGAAAAGAGTACATTAGAGAGTGATTACCCAAGAGGAATGCTCTTTCATCTGATGCTGGTTGCTGTGAGGGCCATTTGCATGGCCACGCCAAAAACAGTTTTGACAGAGCTGATAGTTGTGGCACTGCTGGCATCGGTATCGGAAGCCCATCATGCTCTCACACCGGCAGTAAGAACATTCCACAGGATGGAAGACTTGAAGGAGATAAAAGAAAAAAGAGAGAAATAGTAAGAATTGTGTCAGGAAAAGCAGGCCTCTTCATCCTAAGCTGGATAAAAGGCCCTCAATAAGTCTAGTGCTCAGAGAATTCTACATACTGTACTTTAAATAGGAGTCATATATTGTCTACAATCTTCTAGTTCACTCCTTCCTCTTTTCTGGTTTTAGATAATAAGTCAAACCATAACACACATACACCCAAATACTAGCAAGTGAAGAGTTTAATAGCTATGAAATATTGGACAGAGACTGAGGTACACTGACCAGTCTCTAAGCTTATCAGAGGAAAGGAGCAAGGCCAATCCAAGTTTTGAATGGAGGGAGGGGATCCTTCAGCTCATATCTCCGATGCCTTTAATTGCTACACTGTAGTGAGCCCTCCTAAAAAATAATAACCAAATTTGACTTAGAAAATCAAGAGGGCAATTATGAGAATTAATCTTACTGCAGATCAAGAAAGATATATTTAAATGAACTTGTCCATGTCACCGTTACTAAGGAAGGCATCAGATAGAAATGGGTCATTTAAAGCATAGTTTGTGAAGGTACCCTATAGAAGATTTAAAAAGAAATTAGACAAATTCATGGAATGTAAAGTTATAATTAGCTAGCACCAATGAGAGCTGCACGCTACTTCCAAGACTATAAGCAGTATGCTGTTGCCTATCAGTTGTCGAGGAGAATAAGTCAGCTCATAGTTTATATTTCAGCTTCTCAGAAATAATGACTAGATATTGAGAAGTAGAATGCTGGATTAGATTGGGCCTAGATTTGATTCCACAAGAGGTTTTTTTTATTTCTTACTAAAGCAAAACTCAATAATGAATGCTAGGGAAGACTTAAATATTGAGATTCCATAAAAACAAGTTCACCGAATGATCAGACACGCATATCATTCCGTTGCGCATTCCAAGTTTGCCAGGTTGCAATACATAATTCAGTGAACTTTGGAAACACAAACCTCATATATGTAAAGAACAATTCAGGAGTATATGCCACATACCATTTTCAACATGGGCAAGTCTATGCATCAGAGGTAGCCACACAAGGCACTGGGGTGGAGGGTCAGCCATTAAGGTGTCTAAAAACATGTTTAACGTTACTTTTTTCTGCAAAATAAACAAATAAACAAACAAAAGTTCAGAGGAAAGCCAAGCAGAATTAAACTAATAAGTGAGTCAAAAAAACTTTACCCAGTACAGAAGAACACTTGTAATAAACCATAAAGCACACAATACAGCTGAATTACTGTAAGGTTATGTGTTTTCGAGTTTTATGGGAAAGTTAAACACATTGCTAAATACATCCTTCTCTCGCCAAACTCCACTAATTTAAAAATAAAGAACTTCTGATTCAATTGTGTTTTTTTATTAGATAGGTTTTTAGTCTCAATATACTAACATTTATTTTCCTGTTACAGTTACAATAAATCTATAAAATAGGTTATTTGCATTAGAAGGCAAAGCGGCACTATCGTCCTCTATGCTTTTCTGTAAAATAAATTTTAGAAATGTGTGTTTATTTTAGGAGGAATGAACGAACGAATGAATATACTCACTCTATAGACTAGGGAACTGTGTTTTTCTAGAAAACTAGAAAAGGAATTAGTCTTTCATAGACTCATCTTTTGAGATTAATTTGGAGGACACTGAATATAAGTCAGCATATAAAGCCCTGTGTATTTTCTCACATGACACTTACCTGCTGAGGAAAACATGTTCGCACAGAGTTTTCTGTGTATCCAAACGAAGGCCCTTCAAAAACAGCTGTAGGAAGTTTCAGAACTTCTCTTAGAAACTGGTCAAATTTTGAAAATATCATCAGTCCATTGGAATCTGACATTTGAGAGAAACTATCTAAAATACAAATCAAAGGCAAATATGAAAATGTGTCAAATATGAAAATATGTTACAAGATATTTAATATTTAAACTCTAGCACTGAGCAGGCAGTTCATTTGTTGTAAACTCTTACTATTTTGCAAATAAATATATTCCCTGAATAAAAGAAAAAAGTAAAGGATAATAATAATAGCAACTGTGATGACTCAGTGATTAGAATGCAATATTGCAGGCTAACTCTGCTCTCTGCCAGGAGTTTGATCCTGATTGGCTCAAGGTTGATTCAACCTTCCATCCTTCCGAGGTCACTAAAATGAGGACCGAGATTGTTGGGGGCAATATGCTGACTCTGTAAACCACTTAGAAAGGGCTGTAAAGCACTATGAAGCAGTATATAAGTCTAAGTGCTATTACTATTGCTATAATATAATCTCATTCTGTCCCACAGCAAAAAAGCAATGACGGAAGTAAGCATTTTAAATGTCACAAAGTTGGTGTTTGACCATAAAAAATTTAATAATAGATTATTAGGTCAAAATGTTCAAAATACTCACATCTTAACTTATCCAGAATTTTTCCACCACACATAGTTGCCAACATTGCTTTTATGGAAAATACTGTCAATTTCCCATGACCTTCACTGTAAAAGATAAACCATACTTACTATATAAGATATTTTAAATTACTGCTGGAGTAAGAAAGCATGTGATTTATGGACACCTACCATTTTATTCAACATGTAACAATATTCGTCCAAAAAGTTACTTTTCTGCTAGGAAAAAAAAAGTATTATGGGGAAAGAGATCTAACTGAACTGAAGAGAAATCCAGGTCATCTATTATACAACACAAACAGTTTCTGGGATTGTTAATAAAGGTCAGATGCCTAAAATGCACATATGCTCTATCTGAAAAAAGAATTCTGCTTTTACAATACTTTTTATGGGATTTTAATTCTACAGAGTTTTTTGTGTTAGTTCTGTGGTAGATTCTGTTTGTAGTTCTCAATTGCCTCAGCGTCCCAAGCTATATACACAGTTTCACTTAGCTCAGTGTTTCTCAACCTTGACAATTTTAAGGCATGTGGACTTCAACTCCCAGAATTCCACAGCCAGCATTGTGGAATTCTGGGAGTTGAAGTCCACATGCCTTAAAATTGTCAAGGTTGAGAAACACTGACTTAGCTGGATGTGTGTAGATTTGGGAAGCTATCAGTTGCCTCACCAATATTGTCATTTTCTATGTCAGTATCTCTATCAAAAGAGCACATGTGCAATCAGTGACAATTTAAATATTATAAGCATGGTACTTCTTATATCTCTGCCAAACCAAGAGACTATAGATGAGATCTTAGTATGTAAGAGTCGTAAGAGTATGTTCAGATTTATACATCACCGTAACAAAAAAGTTTGTAAGAAGTTTTTGGATAAGTCTGTTTTCATATTCTGATGGGCTTATTCAGTAGTTATTTATGGCTAAAACAAACTGACCAAATGTGATGGCTCAATCCAACCAATCTCTTTTGCTTCTCCCTTCTTTCTTGAATTAAATAATAGCTGCTAAATTTTGAAGCATTAGCTTCCATTCCTCACCCTGCAAATGAATCCTTTCAAATAATTCCCAGTCAATAAATTCCTACTCTGCTTCATACGAACTACAAATTTATTTTAAGCAAGTTTGCTTTGTAAATAAACTGTTTTTTACTTCCTTCAGTTGTTCACAGCCTGGTTCCTTCCCTCTGCAAGAACTGAACATATTTCTTTCTTTCAACTTCCACCTCCACAACAAAATTAAAAAAAAAATCCAAAAAAAAATAAAAACCAAACCAAAGCTTGGCACAGATATGTTCTCTTTTATCATCTGGAAGCTAGAGCAACAAGTGAAAAATCAAAAGTCTGTCTGCAAACTGGCATTTGCAGACTAGGAACAAAGATCAGGAAAAAAGTATAATTTCCTGGCATTTTTAACCCAGGTTTCAAAACAGATGCTTACAATAATGTTTCTTAGGGAAGTGAGGATATTTAATTTTCCTTTAAAAAAAACCCATATAAACTTCTACAGAACAATGCCATTTGCTCTACTAAGTCTTTTCCCTTATGAGGGAGGAAATATTGCCAGTTGCCCAGTGAAAAAGGAAAGGCACCCTCATCAGGCAATGACTAATAGGAAAAAAAGTTTTGGCTACCAAGTACATACATAATTTGATATCTTAAATAGAAGGCATCTGAATAAAGAAAGCATAGTATTTACTATAGTTTACAGTCAAGGAAAAGCAAAGCAGTTACCACTCCCACTATTACAATCTAAAAGACACACAAGGGAAAAGAAAAAAGAAAAATAGAGGTGATCCTTGCTTAATGACCACTTGTTCAGTGACCAAATTTACAATGGGATTGACCAAGTAGTACTTATGACCAGTTCTTGAAGTTCTGGCCATTGCAGCATCCCAGAGGTCACTTGATCACCATCTGCAACCTTCTTTGCCAGCTTCTCACAAGCAAAGTCAATGGGGAAGCCAGAAGGTCACAAATACTGACCACATGATGTCCTCACTTAAGGATGGCTCAGTTGCTGTTTAATGATAGCAACTAGGAAGTGCTGCAACTGCTGTCACTAAGCAACACAGTTATGTGACCATATCACTTAGTAGCAGAAATTTTGTCTCAACTACTGTTGTTAACCGAGGACTACCTATAAGAAATTTTTTGTCTTAAAAACTTTGATTTTGACTGTTGACTATTCAACCAATTCAACAAACCATAGCTAGAAAAGCTAAGATTGCCTCTACTTACCCAGGCTCCAGCTTGGGTGCTATAGACCTCAGGTTAATTCCAACCTACATAGTTGTTGGTCAGAAGAAACATAGATTGCTTCAAGAACAAAACCACTTGCCTATCATATGCTGCTATCATGAAGTTGAGGAGAAGGCTGATGGATTGCTCCACACTGATCTGGTGAGTAGATGGAAGGCGTTTATTCAGCTGATAGTAAATGGAGGAAATGATAGTTTCTAGTCGAGATACATTGATCTCTGTATTATGGTCCAATGTGTTAAGGCCATTATCTCTGAAGGCTTCAATCATATTCCAGATATCCACAAGATGTACTGGAAAAACAAAAATATTACAAATATTACACAAAAATAATTATAAGGTTTCTATATTGCTTCAATCCATGGACTCTAAGCAGTAAATAATTAAGGGATTATACAATATGTACAACAATCAAAAGCAAGAATAATAACAGTAAACAATGAACAAAATTTCTGGTTCCATGTCTGTCTCAGACCAAAATCAAATTCCAAAAGTCATCTAGAAAAGCTGCATCTTAACAAGTTTCTGAATAACCATGAGCATGGGGGTTACTTTCACCTGAGGGGGAGCTCACTGAAAAATGTTCAGCTCCATGTAATTTTGCTGCCACACCTCACAAT